CAGGCGGGTCTCAAACCCACGGGCTCAGGCAATTCACTCACCTCAGCCTCCCAAGGCGCGGGATTACAGGCTGAGCCACAGAGCCCGGCTCACTAGTGATCTTAGAAGATATCCCTGAGGCTAAGGAGGGAACTACAGTATACACTTTTCAAAACTCATTCAACTGTACACATGGGAAATCTGTGCATTTTATCACACATCAACTATAAATCAATAAAGTTTATTTCAACATAAAAACACCTGGGCGTGGTGGCTCATACTTTGGGAGGTTGAAGCAGGAGGATTGCTTGAAACCAGAAGTTCAAGACCAGCCTAGGCAACATAGCAAGAGTTCATCTCTACAAAAAAAAAAAAAAAGCCAGACATAGTGGCACACACCATGGTTCCAGCTACTCCGAAGGCTGAGGCAAAAGGATCACCTGAGTCCAGGAGGTCGAGGCTGCAGTGAGCTGTGATCGTACCACTGCACTCCAGCCTAGGCAACAGAGCAAGACTCTGACTCAAAAAATAAATTAAATATATAATTAAAATAAATTATCACTGAGAGATCCTGACCAAGACACACAAAATTGCAGAACCTTGGCACTCAAGATAAATAGTAGTAGAGATCTAAAACAAAAGAGAAATTAATTTGCTTCTTCAAGGCTTCTACACAATACCAAATTTGGATTAATAGTTCCCTTAATTTCTATATGATGAAACTAAGATAATGAGATAAATATTAAAGACAAAAATAAATGGTAAAGAGAGAGTCTATCTCTAAGTCTAATTTTCTATCTGTAAGTAGAAATTTTGTCTCTCAAGCCTAGTGGACACTCAAAGGCACAATCCCCCTCAAGGGCAATTCTACTTATGCATGATAAAAATCCTCAGAGAACTCATAAAAGGTCAAGTTTTAATTTGGCAGACAAAGTAACCCAACAGGCACTGCAACCCAGGGAACTGAACAGCAGCCCAGAGCTCCAGAGTCCAGATATCCGACCAAGGCAGAGGACAGGTCGAATGACAGCCTATGCAGAGCAAAACAGACACAAACATTCTCTTACTGAAGATCTAAGATCCAAGAAGCAAGAAAAAATGAAAAAGTATTCTCCTGTCCAAAGTACTTCCTTTCCTCAGATGATAGAAAACGCCATGGGAGAAGGAAGAGAATGGGACTGATCTCAAGTTAACAGGCCAAGGACCAAGCTCCTGACAGTCAGTATCAAGAAACACGTGAAAGTGGTAGCATGGCAGGGTGCAGTGGCTCAGGCCTGTAATCCCAGCACTTTGAGAGGCTGAGGTGAGAGGATGGTTTGAGTCCAGAAGCTCGAGACCAGCCTGGGCAACGGAGTGAGACCTCGGTTCTACAAAAAAAACCAAAAAATTAGCTGAGTATGGTGGCGCACACCTGTGAGCCCAGTTACTCAAGAGTCCGAGGTGGAAGGGTCGCCTGAACCCAGGAGGTCGAGGCTGCAGTAGCCGTCATCACACCACTGCACTCCAGCCTGGGGAACAGAGTACAACCCTGGTTGGAAAAAATAAATACATAAAGGGGTAACATGGCCCAAGAACCCCAGTCACTGCTTTAACATGTCCAGACCTAAGAACCTGGGGTACCTCATGGGACCAAAAAAAAGAGGACTCTAGGGGCAGGGGAAGTTTGTCAACCATCCTACGGAAGAGTGACTGATACTGCTCCATGTGAGATGCAGCAAAACCTTGCTTCATTCATTCATTCATTCATTCATGCGGTAGACATTTATGGCAAGACTGCTGTGAGCCAGGTAACATTCTGAAGATTCAGCAGAGAACAGCTATGGGGAGCTTAATTCTAGCTGGGAAAGAAACTTCCTTTATCTTTCCAAATGTCTTTTCCCCCTCCTCTCCCTTGACATGTTACACAGAAGAGCCTTCAGCACGCTCCCAAACTTCTCCCCCAAGAGGGGTCTCTTCTGTGACCTTCCTGCTTTATCCCCCAAACCAAGCAACTGACGGCTCCGGTTTCCTAATACTGGGAAAAGACAAAAGAGACCTAAAGGGGACAGGCGTGAGACACGCATTTAAGCGCGCGTTCGTGTTCGGCCCGCACACCCTCGCAGCCACACCGCCAGCCCCTCTAGGGAAACTGTGGCTGGGTTTCATCCCGAGTCGGGGCCGCGTGCTGCCCCCGGCGCTACCCACGGGGCCAGTCAATGAACGTGAGCCGAGACCGCTGGAAGGGCTTCCTAATCCGAGGCCTGGCACCGGAACGTCGCGGCGAGCATTCGGGGCTGCATCCTACCTCCTCCCAGGACACGTCCCTTCCAGGGTGACCTCACGGACAGGTTGGCGAAGAGGCGTCTCGGGGAGCTGTGGCGGGGGGTGATCCGAAATAAGCCGCCTTCCCTCTGCCAGGGCCTGCCCGCCTCACCTGCCCTCGGCCCGG